ATAAATTATACACGAAATTCACCCATTGAAACTAGAAGGAATTCTAATAATTATACACGAAGTCCACCTATCACGAGACGAAAAATATTTACTTCAAATAAAAATCATAATGTTTCACAAACACAAAATTTTCCCAAACATAGAGGAAGGAAAGAATCCATTTCCTCTAGTCACTGTGATTCTCCCCCTAAAAGATCTTATGCACAAGTAGCGAGAACTAGTCTAGAACATCCAGATGAGAGGGAGAACCTTTTTTTAGAGGTAGAATCCCATCATAAGGATGGGGGAATAACTCAATTCTTCAAACCACGTTACAATCACCAGGGAACCATATCAGACACTCACTCAACCCCTCCCAAAAGAAAAAGAATGGAAGAGAATCCACGGAGAGAGGATTCCTTGAGACAAAGACATTAGAAAAATAGTATGGAATTTATAATTTAACAGATATAAAGTTGTGTCACACTGATTTAAAAGCCTTAAGCAAAGGTTTAAAATTTGCTCCCAATCAAAAAATGAATTTCTTTAATACATATATCGATGTCCAGCAATATATTTGTAAAATGACATTGAAAAGATTTTTTCTGAAAAGGGAGATAGAAGAAAACATATTTTCAAAAAGTACAGATGAAACAATTTTAGAACAAAAACAATTTAAAAGGAAATCACATTTTTACCCAGTAGGGGATAGAGGCCCTTTTCTGGAAACCTTTAACAATATGGTATGCCATGACCTGGAAAAACTAGAAAAAGAAAAAAAATCAACGAGAAAATAAATATAATATGAGCAAAGAAGAATCAGTCAGTATAATTAAATTGCAAAAAATGGACACCATCGTGATAAAGGAAGCTGACAAAGGGGGGCTATAGTCATTATGACAAAAGAATACTATATGAATGAGGCATATAGAATTTTGGGAGACATAGATACCTACATTAAACTTACAGGAGACCCGACCAAAAAATTTAACATCATTCTTGGATCTTTATTGGATCAAGCATACAAAAATGATATCATTTCTAAAAATAATAAGGAATATCTTTTTAATAATTTTCCAATAATACCTATTTTTTATTTTCTCCTTAAATTACATAAGAACCCAATAACCCCTCCAGGTAGGCCAATTATCAGTGGCATCAACTCTATATCTGCTCATTTGTCTGAATTTGTAGACCACCATCTTCAAAGATATGGTCAGGAAGCACCCTCTTATCTAAAACACACTGCCCATGTTTTGAGAATTATGGAGAATGTAGTCTGGGAACCTAACTATGTTTGGGTAACCATAGATGTTATTTCATTGTACACAATAATAAAGCATAAGAAGGGTTTAGTTGCAGTTGAACGGATTATGGAGAAAGATGAAAATGTCTCATTAAATTTTCGCAATTTCATTTTGAACAGTATTGATTATATCCTTAAGCATAATTATTTTTTCTTTGATGACTCATTTTACCTTCAAACTACTGGTACAGCCATGGGGACCAGGTTCGCCCCCAGCTATGCAAACATATATATGCGGGATTGGGAATCCAACCACATATGGAGTGGGCATGGCTGGGTAGCGAACCTGGTCCTATGGAAACGTTTTATTGATGATATGATAATGATCTGGCGAGGTTCACAAGAGGAATTGTTATTATTTATCAATTACATTCATCAAAATGATTACGGTCTGAAACTCACACATGAAATAAACACTTACACTATTAATTTTCTAGATTTAAGTCTCTTTATAGAAAATAATCAGATTCAATCAAAATGTTATTTTAAAAAAAACGGAGGGTAACAGCTATATACATAGGAAAAGCTGCCGTAAAGATAAATGGTTGGAAACCATACCAAAAAGTCAGCTAATACGGGTCAGAAGAAACTGCACAAAAACTCAGACTATAGAGAACAAGCTAAACATCTAAAAAATAAATTTGTGGCAAAGAAATATGAATCAACACTGCTAGACAAAGAAATTAAAGAAATAGGAAAAAAGAATAGGAGAGATCTGATAGCATCTAATCCTAAAAAACCTTCTAATAATAATTAAAAATTTTCTTTCACCACTCAATATAATATACAACATTGGAAAATAAAAAAGATTCTCAATAAACACTGGAACATTTTACGCCAGGATCCTATTTTGGGTAAAGTGTTACCGAAAAAAAATCAGTTATTTTCAGGAGAACAAAAAATTTGATTGGCGAAGTTTCACTTTCCTGGGCATTGAGCATGTGGACCCATATTGGAGAGGAGGGGATTTAGCCAAAAGGCTCTCCCAAAGAGAAACCTTTTGGATAAATAAGCTAAAGACACTTCAACCCTTCGGTTTAAATTTGGATATTGATTTGTGGAGCTTTTTTGAAGATTAAATACATAATTAATTTTAACTCTGTTTTCGTTTGTGGAGTGTTTGGGGAACATTGCACTTTTCCCTCATTTTGAAATTAAGGATTTTTTTATTTTAGATTTTTATTTTTTATTCTCATTTTTATTTTAATTTTTATATTCATTATTATTTTTATTTTATTTTTATATTTATTTTTATTTATACTTTTTTTCATTTTTATTTTCATTTTCATTATTTTTTCATTTTCAATATATTTCATTTTTATATTTATCTGTTTATTTTTAATATTTTATTTATTTTTTATTTTTATTTTATTTATTTTATTTTCATTTTTATTACTTATTATTTCTTCATTTATATTCTAATTCTATTTCCAAAATAAGTAAAAAAGACAAAAAAAAAGAAAAAATTCTCTATATATATATTTTTTCAAGGAGATAGAGGCAAAAGTGCAATGTAATGGGTCTCACCATTTTGCTATCACAGAGTGACCATTGTATTATAACTATATATGATGTTAAACTATATTACTATTTATGCACTTTATGTAACTTTTTTATATATATGTCCTATGAACTGTGAGGATGTAGACATGTGTGTATATACCCACTACATAAAAATGCACTTTATATATAATTTGCAATTTAAGATTTTCTATAAGTGTAGACAATCTTTTATTGGCAAAAATGGGAAATTTGGAGGATGTATACACATGCATCTGCAACCATAGATCGTGTTATAAAATAATTAAAACCCGTACAATTATTTTACTGTATTTTATTAATGTTGTGCCGTCCAGAGAATTATTCTAATAGCATTTCCTCCCCCCTTCCGTTTTGTCCATCTGCCCATACATCCGGGTTTGTGGAACGCAAGGTGGAACGCATACGGCGCACGTGATGACGTCATCCGTTTTTTTGCCACCAAAACGGAAATTGAATACCGGCCGAAAATCTTTGAAAAATCAATGGGGGATGTATAAAAGGGCTGAGGGAGGGATAATTTTGATTGCTGCTATTACCATTGTTGTATTTTATTTCACCAAGTGCCTGAGGAAGTCCAATTGAAGGACGAAACGCGTAGGACGTTTTCATGGTGACATGCTGTTTGTTTTATACCTAAATGTAAGTCATTAAATTACTTTTTATTATACTCTGGAAGTGCACTACATTTTGTATATATTTTTCTCTTTTGAGTCATATATACCAATTCGCTGATGGAAATGTGAGGAGGGACAACACAGTGGATACTGAAGAAAAATATATCATTCAAGGCTTTTTTACATTAAATAATTTGTGAGTGACCAATTGTGATTGCACACTATTATTAGTCCCCACACAGTTAAACGCTATGTTTTTTTATTTGATTTGCATTTAGCAGATTATCCCCTAGCCTACTTGAAAGAGTCTACTTAATGGAGTCTGCTTTCAAGCAATGTGAGTAAGCTCAGTGAGTTAGGGGTGTGCTTATATGGGAATAAAAATCCCACACAGGTGGCAATTAATGAACACTCCCCCAATTAAAGGACCACTCTAGGCACCCAGACCACTGCAGCTTAATGAAGTGGTCTGGGTGCCAGGTCCCTCTAGGATTAACCCCCCTTTTTTTATATAAACATAGCAGTTTCAGAGAAACTGCTATGTTTATAAATGGGTTAATCCAGCCTCTAAAGGCTATCTCATTGACAGCCGCTAGAGGCGTTTGCGTGCTTCTCACTGTGAAAATCACAGTGAAAAGATGCCAGCGTCCGTAGGAAAGCATTATGAACCCTTTCCTCGCCATCCAGCCCAGCGGGAGGTGGTCCCTGAGGGTGGGGGCACCCTCAGGGCACGATAGTGTCAGGAAAACGAGTATGTTTTCCTGGCACTATAGTGGTCCTTTAATCAAGCAACAGCACAAAGGAGGGAGAAAAACAGAACACAGAAATTTTTTTTTTAACTTTGCTAATAAATCAGATTAAACAGAAATAAAACACAAACCACTGTCCACAGTATACTAACCACTCTCCTATGAACTCCTGTCTTCACTTACCTGTGATGTATGCAATGCACTACAAAAATAAAGATTTTTTATTTTTTTAAATAAGCAAAATTGAAGCTAAAATAGCTGATCTGACAATATTCTCCAACATAGCAATTCTAGCCTTCGTTTTACCGTCTGGATTTTAATCTGTTACAATTTGGAGTTTGGTGGCTGATCGTGTAACTAATTTCCCTCCTGCAGTCTAGATGGATTTCTACAGGACTGTTAGCCAGCATGTCACGTACTGCCGCCCCCCCCTCCACCTCCCAAACAGAGAAACGTAATGTGTCTAAGAAAATAATGTTTAATATGACAGTCCTTTTCCTACCTCTGTTGCTTTGGATTTAATGTACAGATCTAACAAATGAATCAAGAATATCAAGGAGTTATTGCACTACTGCCTTGCAACACCACGTTCTACGTATCCAACATTCTTTCTTTAACCGCTAAAGCTGCTTACTATACAACCACTAATTCTATGAATGATAAATATTTTAATATTTAATCTTTAGCATTTTTCTGTAAGAATTATAATCAAGAAGCGCGCTAAATTAACCTTCACCGTATATCCCATTGGTTGAGGTAAAACTGTACTCTGATTGGCCGCCTACGTCAACGTTCTTTAAGTGTAAAAGACGCGGTCTGAGTTCGAGCGCGATATTCGAACAAGATTCAGTGACATACAGTGTTAGGAGAAAAGCACGATTATGGCTACTCCGCCTAAAAGAATATGCGCCAGTCCGGTTTTCGACAACAGCTTCGAGAAACGATCAAAAAAAATATCCATTGAAGGAAACATTGGTAAGGGCTGCAAATCTGTGTACGTGGGTCGTTCTTTTTCACATGTTATATCTTGAAGCAGATAAAGATTAATACCTTTTGGCGCCAATAATGATGGCGCGTGTTTTTGTAGTTGCAAACCGTAGCTGTAGAAGAGTGGTCAGTTTCTCTGGATTTTTTTTTTTTTTTTTCTTTGAACTAACTTTATTTGACAAAGACCATTAAAATAACATTTTTACACTTGCCTTTTAAAGAAATTGGATCGCCTAACTTAATCTTGATGGATTTTTTCTTTTTTTTCTTTTTTTTTTTTCTTCTTCTTACGAATAGGAATATCTGTCTCTCTCCTGCAAGGAGGGGACATGCCATTCGGACCTCTCATTCAATAAACACCTGTCAAAGCAGTTAATTGATTATCATTTAACACTATCCACGTTTGACTTTTCCACTCATTTTAAGCAAATGCTGGAGTGACTCAATCCGGAAATGGCAACCATATCAAGGCTATTCCTGGCTCTATTCAGTTTTGTGGACTAGATTGTGTGGAGACATTAAAGCTATAAATGCTTGTGTACTACCCCTGCAACTTGGATAGAGTCCTATATGGGACATTTAAAGCAATATTCAATGCATGATAAACAACTTTAGCTTAAAGGGAAACTCCAGTGCCAGGAAAACAATGTTTTCCTGGCACTGCAGGTCCCCTCTCCCTCCCCGGTTGCTGAAGGGGTGATTTACCAGAGGCAGCTGCATGTCCCACGTTGCTGCTTCTTCCGCCTCTCCTCCTCTGTATTATGTTGGCCGGTGGGCGATACTGATCCCGCCCACCGGCCGGGGATACCTACTAGACCGCCACTAGAGGTGCAGTTAACCCTGCAATGTAATTATTGCAGTTTATAAAAAAAACTGCAATAATTACACTTGCAGGGTTAAGAGTAGTGGGAGTTGGCACCCAAACCACTGGGCAGAAGTGGTCTGGGTGTCTGGAGTGTCCCTTTAAACGAACACTATAGTGTTAGGAATACAGTTTTATATTCCTCATACTATAATGTCCCTCTGCACCCCCTGGTGGTAAATAAGTGTTAACATAACTTTTTCTTCTTCCACTTATGGGATTCCAGCACCTCTGTCTCTCTGCGCAGGATCCAGTTCCTACTCCCTTGACATCACAGCGAAAAACTGCAATAAAAACTGCAATAATTACACTTGCAGGGTTAAGAGTAGTGGGAGTTGGCACCCAAACCAATGGGCAGAAGTGGTCTGGGTGTCTGGAGTGTCCCTTTAAACGAACACTATAGTGTTAGGAATACAGTTTTATATTCCTCATACTATAATGTCCCTCTGCACCCCCTGGTGGTAAATAAGTGTTAACATAACTTTTTCTTCTTCCACTTATGGGATTCCAGCACCTCTGTCTCTCTGCGCAGGATCCAGTTCCTACTCCCTTGACATCACAGCGATTCGGGAACCGCATGCATGGGAAGTGCTACACATGCATTAGGCCTTCCATGTAGGAAATGCATTGAATCAAGCTTAAAGGGACTCTCCAGTGCCAGGAAAACAAACCCATTTTCTTGGCACTGCAGGATCCTGCAGTGCTCTCCATCCCATGTTGCTAAAGGGGTTAAAAATCCTTCAGTGACTTACCTGAATATAGCGCCGATATCCCTCGGCGCTTGGTCAGGTTCTGCCCACACGCCTCCCCCGCCGACGTCAACAGCGCATGCATTAGACCTCCCCATAGGAAAGCATTATTCAGTGCTTTCCTATTGGGATTCCGGCAATGCTGAAGGTCCTCATGCATAGCGCGAGGACGTCCAACGTTGTTTAAAACACTTTTCTTGTTTTAAGAAGCCGGATGTCCCTCTAGTGGTTGACTCATAGACAGCCACTAGAGGAGGATTTAACCCTGCAGGAAGGGGTTAAATTCTTACCTTTCTCCAGCGCTGGGGACTCTCCCTCTCTGGCTGAATGCGCATGCGTGGCAAGAGCCGCGCGCGGATTCAGTCAGTCCATAGGAAAGCATTCTCAATGAGACTAGAGGCTGGATTAACCCATAGCAGTTACTCTGAAACTATGTTTACAGCAGGCAGGGTTAATCTTAGATGGACCTGGCACCCAGACCACTTCATTAAGCTGAAGTGGTCTGGGTGCCTATAATGGTCCTTTTAAGCTCCACAAAAGGCTGTAGTATTTATGGTGCATTTGAATGCTTTTAATCATCACCTGATGTTCATGCACAGTTTGAACTTTTGAAACTAGCTAAGACTTTGACAGTTGCGTATGACATTTGGTACTGTGGAAAGAGAATTAAAATTGTCCAACCATTTGTGCATATTAATGTATGAAAACTGTTTATTGCTTGGAGAAACTATTCCAGTAGGACATTGGCATTATTTTTGAGCATGTGCAAATCTATTTTATTTTCTTCACTAGCTGCAGGCAAATCAACATAACATTTGCAGTCTATAAAAACTGCAATAATTACACTTGCAGATTAAAGGACCACTATAGTGCCAGGACAACATACTCGTTTTCCTGGCACTATGGTACCCCCTCCCGCGGGGCTGGATGGCGAGGAAAGGGGTTAAACTTTCCTTTATTCCAGCGCCAGGTGTGGAGCTCTCCGCCTCCGATCCTCTTCTTCGGCTGCATGCGCGGCAAGAGCTGTGCGCGCATTCAGCCGGTCTCATAGGAAAGCATTTACAATGCTTTCATATGGACGTTTGCATGTTCTCACTGTAATTTTCTTAGTGAGAAGCACGCAAGCGCCTCTAGCGGCTGTCAATGAGACAGCCACGAGAGGATTTGGAGGCTGGATTAACCCATTTATAAACATAGCAGTTTCTCTGCTATGTATGTATGTGTGTGTTAATCCTAGAGGGACTTGGCACCCAGACCACTTCATTAAGCTGAAGTGGTCTGGGTGCCTAGAGTGGTCCTTTAAGGGTGATGGGAATTTGCACCCAGACCACTCCAATGGGCAGAAGTGGTATGGGTGCCTGAAGTGAAACTGCGGGAAGTGCTTCTAGTGTATGTCTGGGGGCACTTTTCCTGGCACCATAGCTTCCCCTTCTGTCACTTACCTGGGTCCAGCGCCAAGGGAATGCGCAGCAGTGACCAATCTTGCAATAGGATTTCTCCATAGGAAAGCATTATACTGTACAGTTCAATGCTTTCCTAATGGGGATTTGGGTGACGCTGGATGTCCTTTATGCAAAGCACGAAGATGCGTCAGGCGAATAAAATTTGCATAACATCTCAGAAGTCCTTCTAGTGGCTGTCTGGTAGACGACCACTAGAGGTGGAGTTAACCTGCAAAGGTAATTATTGCAGTTTTTATAAACTGCAATAATTGCATTTGCAGGTGTAAGAGACCTGGGACACTGCACCCAAACCACTTTAGCTCATTGCCCTTAGTCCTGCAATGTAACACTTTGCAGTTTTAGAGAAATTGAAATGTTTACATTTCAGGACTAAGTCAGACAGCCACTAGAGAGGGGCTTCCTGCTTGCCAGGTGACTTTTGGTCGCCACATACCAGATGTCCTCGCGCTCTGCATTAAGTCAATGTTTAATTTAGGGCTTTCCTATGGGGATGGCCTTGTGTGCACATGCGCATTAGGTACTCTTGTCGGAGGAGCCCAGCACCAGGGACATCAGCAATTTTTTATTTGTATTTTTTTTTTAATTTTCTGGGGGAATACAGGTTTGTATTGCTAAAATTATAGTATCCCTTTAAATGGACACTGGTCTTGGTGCCTATAGTGTCCCTTTAAAGGACCATTATAGTGCCCTGAGGAAGGGGTTAAATTCTTACCTTTCTCCAGCGCAGGGGACTCTCCCTCTCTGTCTCAATGTGCATGCGTTGGAAGAGCCGTACGCGGATTCAGTCAGTCCATAGGAAAGCATTCTCAATGAGACTAGAGGCTGGATTAACCCATAGCAGTTACTCTGAAACTATGTTTACAGCAGGCAGGGTTAATCTTAGATGGACCTGGCACCCAGACCACTTCATTAAGCTGAAGTGGTCTGGGTGCCTATAATGGTCCTTTTAAGCTCCACAAAAGGCTGTAGTATTTATGGTGCATTTGAATGCTTTTAATCATCACCTGATGTTCATGCACAGTTTGAACTTTTGAAACTAGCTAAGACTTTGACAGTTGCGTATGACATTTGGTACTGTGGAAAGAGAATTAAAATTGTCCAACCATTTGTGCATATTAATGTTTGAAAACTGTTTATTGCTTGGAGAAACTATTCCAGTAGGACATTGGCATTATTTTTGAGCATGTGCAAATCTATTTTATTTTCTTCACTAGCTGCAGGCAAATCAACATTTGTTCGCATGTTAGAAAAAGCAAGCGATGAATGGGAAGTTGTCCCTGAACCTATTGCAAAGTGGTGCAATGTTCAAAGCACTGAAGATGAGCATGAGGTAAAAGCTTACATATATTTTTTTTTTAAATTTCATTTATATAAAAACACTTTATTCCTGACCCCATTGTATTACTATACTATTTAGCCCAGCCCCTCCCCTAAATACAATAAAAACTCACCTGGTTTCCAGCACTGCGCGGCTATGCCTCCTTGGCTGACATCTTCAGAATTGACAACCCCATAGGAAAGCATTGGATTGGCTGAGATTGTTAATTTTGATGTCAGCAATGGTGAGGGGTGGAACCAAACACCTCCCTGGCCAATCAGCATTTCATAGAGATGCATTGAATCAATGTATCGCTTTGAGGAACGTTCAGAATGCGTGGGTCCAGGAAGCACCCATGGGGGCCGTTTGGTAGACTGACTAGGAACATTTCTAGTGGCAGTAATGTAAACACTGCCTTTACATTAAAAGGCCTGTGGGGACATACTATACATACCAGAACAACTAATAGTTACCAGAACATGCTGTAGTTGTTCTGGTAACTATTGTGTCCCTTGGAGAACTGCCACCTTAAAAATATTGAAGCGTAATTGTTGTGGTAAGAGAATTATTGATATCTTTTAGTATGGCTGGATCCTTTAGCCATATGTTTGAAAACTGACTGTTAGTCTCTGTAGTCTTCTGAGCATGGAAGACCATAGAGACTAACCGTCCCTCCGCACCTCTCCCCCTATAAAAATTAATAGTGTTTGTTTGGGTTTTTTTTGTTTGTTTTTTTACTGCTCTATTACCAGCCCTCAAATTCCCTCTCTGCTGCTTATATGTGACACACGTATTCAGTCTTCCCCACCAATATGCCGTGACTGAGTTTCAGTGCGCTACCACACTGGAAAAAAGTTACTTGTTTGTATTCCTAACATTATATTGTTCCTTTTAATATTTTCAGCTGGTAAATGGTTGGTGTAAGCCTGTTAAATTGTTTTTCTCCCATCAAGGAGTTGTCTACATCTCAGAAAAGTGGAGGAAACCTCCTTCAGATGCTCTATGATAATCCTTCAAGATGGGCTTATACATTTCAAACGTACGCTTGCCTTAGTAGAGTAAGGGCACAACTTAAGCCAATATCTCCTAAATTACGTGAAGCTGATCATCCTGTGCAGTTTTTTGAAAGATCTGTTTACAGTGACAGGTAGGCGCTGAAATATAGCTGTCTACTTGTTATATCTATACCTCTCTATGAAAAAGTTGTAATTTTACAGCAGTAACATGATTCCCTCTTCAACACTTTTGTTATCTACAATGCAGGTCAAGATGAGTAAATTTTTATATCTATGAACCGTGACTGTTTTGTCTAGGTATGTGTTTGCATCAAGCTTGTTTGAGTCTGGAAGTATCAATGAAACAGAATGGGCTATATATCAAGACTGGCATGCATGGCTTCTGAATTCATTTGAAGGTGAAATAGAGCTGGATGGCATTATCTACATTAGAGCTACACCAGATGTAAGCATTATTTCATTGTTAACTATTTTTAAATGTTATATCATTTGAGTACAGAGTACAAAAATATATATAATTTTTTTTTTTTTTTATTCCACAGAAATGCATGGACAGATTACATCTTCGTGGTAGAGAGGAAGAGCAAGGAATAGAGCTAGACTACTTGGAAAGTTTACACTATAAGCATGAAAAATGGCTTTATGATAGAACAATGCAGTAAGTAGTAGTTTGCCTTATCTACCATGTATCTTTAAGTGAACTTGTGTTGCTACCGGAATCTAATATTGTTCTCATTGAACAATTCAGAATAATGTTGATAAATACATATATTCTTTAAAAGGGGGATTTTGTTAAATTGAGAAAAATCAGTTTGTAAAGTTGGGAATATGTAGGACTCAATTTTCACACTTCTTTAGAGTGTAGTTACATAGCTTAAAAGAGATGTGTCCATCAAGTTCAGCCTTCCTCACATTTTTTTTTTAATTTTTTTTTTTTTCTGTTGATCCAAAAGAAGCCAAACATTTCAGTCTTGTAGTATTTTTCACGATTAGTCTTTGCCCTGTGAATGATGTGGAAAACCTTTATCAAATATGATCTAATGTTTAAACTGAAACAAAAATCTCCTTTTTGGGAGAGTTTGTATTACAGAAGAAGTGTTTGTGATGAGATATGTGGATTACCTTTTTATTCCACATGCAACTGATACAGAAAAAGAAATTGGTATATAATTTACATATACCTCAAGTGGAGCACTATAAGTGTTGAGGGATTTTAATCCCTCAACACAAAGTGCTCCACTTGAGGTATATGTATATGAGCTAATGTTTGTTGATATAACCTATCTTTCACTTTTTGTTAGTGTTGATTTTGAGTCTCTCCACCATACGCCAATTCTGGTTCTGGATGTAAATGAAGACTTCAAAAATGATAAGATAAGACAAGAAGCTTTACTGGACAAAGTAAGTTCTGTTACCCTTTTTAAAAATGTATCCATTTGTATTTTTTTTTTTTCTATGCTGACCGTCTGTTATTTCTCAACACTTTGAATATCCTACAGCCAGTGTATAACCTCCACTGAGTGCTATGGCTACCTCATTAAATTATCAGGTTTGTTGGTCAGTAGGTTAAGTATGTACTAGGAATTACAAAAATTGGAGGCAGACCGTGAGCACCCATTTGCGCTGCCCCAGCAGCAGTGATCGCTCTGACAGGCTGTCAGAGCGAGCACATGTGCTGCAGGGACTCTCCATCCGCCTCCCTGCTCTTCCGTGTTCTGTGTGAAGTGCAGGGAGATGGATCAGTGTTGATCTGCTTCCCTATAAATAAAGTTAGTTTAAAATCCCACCCTCTTTACCCATTTGAATTTTTTTTTTTTTTTAATTAACCCCTTCCCTGCCAATTGATCACTGACTACAGTGTTCAATTGGCAGGGACTACATTTTACTGTGATCTTAATATATAAATATATTATCTCTTAGGGCAGGCTTCCCCAAACTCTGGCCCTCCAGATGTTGCTGAACTACAACTCCCATGATTCTATGAATGCAATAGATGGGCTGAGAATAATGGGAGTTGTAGTTCAGCAACATCTGGTGGGCCAGAGTTTGGGGAAGCCTGCCTTAGGGGTTCAAATTATTTTAATTGCTTTTAAATATTTTAAAATGATATATTTTGCTAGCTGGGGTGCGTGGGAGTTATGGGAAATTGGGGGATTTACGGTTAGTGCTGCTTACTGCTAATTAGGGGTTAACGGTAAAAAACAAACAAAAAAAAACTTATAAAAATTTTAAATCTATGGGGGGGAGGGGAGTTTCAAGAACGTTTTTAAAAACTTAAAAAAAAAAAAAATACATTTAGAAATGCTCATTACCACTACACCTAGAACAAACTAGAGCAAAAATGACCCCATGCTAAGGTTCAAGATACGCCTTTTGAATTACCCCAGGGTGTATTCTTTAATAAATAGTATGTGTTTGTGGGGAAGTTTCAATAACCATACATCTAAACTACTCCAAAATGGAACATGGACACAGCTTAAAACTTCAAAGTTAGAAAAAAGACTGGCTGGGTCTCAAATGTGCCCCTTCAATATCCACATATTCCTGGCAAAGGTACATACAGGGGTATTGCTGTACTCAGATGACATAGCTGAGAAACATATGTAGTATTACATAGTCGTAGCACGCATAAGGTTTGCAAAATATACTGTGCAAACTCACTTTGTGTGTCAAAAAGGCAGAAAAAATGCTTATTACCACTACAGTTGGTACAAGCTAGCGGAAAAATGATCCCACACTAAGGTTCAAAATATGCCTTTTGAAATACCTTGGAATGTCTTCTTTAAGAAAGGGTATGCCTTTATGGTGTAGTTGTAATATGTAGCCTGCTCAAGTGCTCCAAATTGGGACACGGACACATCAAAACCCTTCATGAAAATTCAGACTTAAAAACCTGAAATTATCACGTCTCTTTTACAGCACTGTAACTTCCCAAAATAGTGTCTAGGTCATACATTGGGTATATTGTTTTACTCAGAAGATGTAACTGAGTATAATTTGGGGATTTTTATGACAGTGGTACATATTACGTGGTATAAATACTCAGCAAAAATGCAACATATATGTAAAAATGCCTTTTATAATTTTTTTTATTTAATTTTTTTCATCACCACAAACATTGACCTAAATTGGTGCAAAAATGGTGACAAGTTAAGGCATAATATATACCATGTAAGATACCTTGGGGTGTCTGCTTTATCAAATGAAAGCCCTTTGTGGGGTTATTTGAACAGTTACACTGCTATAATACTCTAAAATGAGACATAGGCCCGTCAAATCCATCTACGAAAATTCTAACTATAGAAACTGAAATAGCCATGTCTCTTATATGGCACTGTAGCTTTACGAAAAAGTGCCAAAGGCATACAACGGGGGTATTGTTATACTCGGCAGATGTAGCTGAAAACAATATGGGGTTCTGGGCAGCAATAGCACACACCAGCTTTATGAAATAAACATTATAAAAAACCTTGTGTATATGCCAAAATAAAGAAAAAACACAATTTTACTCCAATATTTAGCAAAGATTGGCGATGAAATGGCTACGTAAAAAGTGTCAAACTAACCTTAGGTAAATAGCATGTGATGTCTTCTTTATAAATATATACTTTTGTGTGGCAATTTTTTGTTTTCTGTGATGACTACTAAACCTACAAGACACACATACCAGATTCTAAAATTGTTACAAATTGTTTCACATCAAAATTTTATTTTAGTCCTTGTATTTTGTGACCTGTAGCTTTCAAAATAAGCTGAAATCCTATACATATAATGTACTCTATAAATCAAGACACATAAATGAATTTATTTTGAATTCCTTTTTCTAAGCTGGACATATTATGCACACGCTATTATTGCTAAAATTGTGAAAAAAAACTTTTCTTTTATTAAATTATTTTTTGCATTTTTAAATAATGAGAATTTATGTGTGATCAAATTAAAGCCCTGTTTGCCCTCTAAAAAAAAACTGTATAATGTGTTGGTGCAATAAATGACAGAGATGCAAATTGCGTTTGAATACAAACCGCAAAAAAAATATGCAAAAATGGCTTGTCCTTAAGCGTAAGACAAGCTTCTGAAGTGGTGTCCTTAAAGGTACACTAGTCACCTACACAACTTTGGCTTATTGAAGCAGTTTTAGTGTATATATCATGCTTCTCAGGTTTCACTGCTCTATTCAATGCCTTTTAGGAGTTAAATCACTTTTGTTTCTGTTTATGCAGCCCTTGTCACACCCACCTGACTGACAGCCTGCATGGGGGAACTGGTTTCACTTTCAGATGTAATTTAACTTAAACAATTGTATCTTTTTCTCTGTAAATTGAACTTTAATCACATACAGGAGGCTCTTGCAGGGTCTAGCAAGCTATTAACATAGCAGGGGAAAAGGAAATATAAATTAAACAACTTGCAATTAAGGAAGGCAAAACTTTTAGATTCTTTACAGGAAGTGTTTAGGAAGGCTGTGCAAGTCACATGCAGGGAGGTGTGACTAGGGTTCATAAACAAAGGGATTTAACTCCTAAATGGCAGAGGATTGAGCAGTGAGACTGCAGGGACATGATCTATACACCAAAAGTGCTTCATTAAGCTAAAGTTATTTTGGTGACTATAGTGTCCCTTTAAGGGCATAAATAACTGGGGTGTGTGTTTGTGTTTTTTTTCTTTAATTTTTTTTTATTTTTTCTTTATATCTCTCCTTTTTTAATCTGCATTGGATTAAAATTGGTAGCTGGCTCTGAGCATGGTGAAGGTCTTAAAGTAGATTGCCATTAGTGGGAGTGTGGGCACAAATGTTGGAGTCTCCACATGCATAAAAAAGTTAAAGCAAGAAAACTGTATTAAAGGGGTGCTGTAGATATTGGCAATGCCATACATTTTAGCAAACTGTATATAACTGTACAGTTTGTAAATATTTGTATTTGTTTATAATTTCTAAATAAACCCATTAAAGTTACTTCTCTGCAAATTATACAATTGAACAAAACTTAGAATATCGTTTTGTGTATGTATTTACACTCACTCACTGGAAATAAGAACAGAAGCATGGTTTCCTTTTCTTCTCCTCTTCTATGTTGCCTTGCGGAATAGGACAACATTTGTGAATGATAGACAGCAAGGGATGACTATTCAAAATAAATAACCTACCTGGAATCTTGGACATTGACAGTATTCACTAAACTCAGAATTTTCACAAATTTAAATCCAAATGGAAAAACTAAAAGGTGATATGGAAAACTCCTATAGACACAACTTTCTGCTGTGGTATTTCCATTCAGATCTAATTTGTGAAAATGTAGTTTACTGAATGACCCCAATTGTCTTCCCTTCTGTCTCCCCAACATAGTCTCTTCCACTGCACCCTTCCCCACCACCAATGGGGTGTGGTTTATTAATTCTGTGTTTTGTGCCCTTCCTGTTGTGATTCTTGTTCTCTGATGGCCAATTGGTGGTTAATGTCACGGTTTGTCAGGGGAGCATGTGGTCTGCAATTCCAGCAAGTTCATACCAGTATAAAGACTCTCTCTCAGTCCGGCACTCATGATGTCACAGAGCAGCATCTCTGTTTCTTGGCAGCTGCATTAGGACTCGTGAGGGAGCAATTACTGTGGTCTGCACCCACCAGAGATACAGACCACTTGTTCTCTATAGCAGCCCTGCGGCTTCTCCGCCGCGGGAATAAAGGCAGAATAAAAAAATGCCTTCCTGTCCAGTGTTCAGAAGTACATGTCCCGGGCTGGCATCAGGTGAAACAAATTGCCCATTCGAGTGGATACCACAAAGGAGAACATGCCCTTTGTTAAAAACTTATGTATATCTATTTTTCAGAGACTAGATTTATTATTTTTACTATTGTAGATGTATAATGTATTTTTTTTTTTTTTTCTTACAGGTTAAAGAGTTTTTGATTTCACTGTGAGAAGTCTATACTACCAAATTTTAAAGTTTTTGTTTTATTTTTTAGTAATGCTTTACTTTAAACCCAAGTTTTTATTAATCCAATATTACTGCCTATTTATTATGCAGAAATAGGAGTCCGTGAACTCATGATTCTTCCAATAGACTAACAAATTTAAATAAAATCATGTTTGGTATTTTATAACATTGATAGATATGTGTGTGTATATAATATATATTTTTATGTTTTCTTACGAAAAGCACAGTAATAATCTGATCTTGGTGAGACTCCTAAATAAATACACGCAAGATAAAACAATGAAATAAGTAGTAGTTTGCATTACCTACCTTGTATCTTCATAACTGATATGATTTTTTTTTTTTTAAATTTTCTTTTACAATGATGCAAATATATCTGTCTTTGAAAGCAAATTTGTGAGGATTTTGCAGCCTTGAGATATCAAGTTCAGTGATTTATAAAGGAACGTTATGTTGAAGCACAGCATGACCTCTTATAGATCTCGCACTTATAATTGTTATTGACTTGCATGTTTGTTTTTTTTTTTTTTGTTTTTTTTTGTTTTTTTTAAATCTGTGTGTATATAATCTTTATCCTTCTATAAATATGCTTGTACACAATAAGCAAACTTATGTTCATGTTAAAATGTTTCTGAAAATATGTCCACATGCAAAATATTGTAATTTTATTTATAAACAAATGGTGAAAAATATATTTTAGTGTGTTGTGTGTAATTTTTTTTTCCATGTTCCTCCCACTTCACGATATACCAGTTTACACATTTGTCCGTTCAACAGTCTATTCAAACTCGCGTACGAACGCTAAACTCACGAACCTCCCCTCACCATGTTAAACTAGAAGTGCTCTCTGTTTGGGGGTTACTGTGCAAACACCATGCAAGGGCTTGTCTTAATTGCAGGGTATGAATGCTCCCCCTGTTCGGTAATTCCCATCTCCCGAACATCATTCGCATAGTTGGTTGGGAAGTTGAATGGGCAGCGGTCTAATCTTTACCAGGGTTAGTGCGAATGCCTGGTCGAAAAGCGTTCCAGGCACTTGAAGACCAAGTAACGCTGTCCACATTCGGGAAACAAAATGGCCGCCATTCTGTGTCGACCACATGCATTCTGTTATACGAAGTGGCGGCCATCCAGGGGTAGTATTCATTACTTTCTTTGCGGTTTCGCACTTAAGTTGCTGGTGTGAACTTCTAATGGGGTACAGGGGTAGTCCTGGTTTGGGAGTTGAATGGAGGAGGCTAGTATACAAGAACTCCCAAACAGACTAAATGCATTAAATCAATGCTCCATTCTCATTTACTCTGTAATACATTTCAGGGGGTTTACTGTTCGTGGATTTTCTGTTCTTAACAATACCCCGCAATAGAATTGGGTTCAGAAATTTGAAATCTGTCTTAGTAAAACAGTTTAAAATCACATGTATGTAAATCAGAAATGCTTATAATTAAACGTAGAAATATTTATGCTGAAGGCCCGCAGGCATGCTATGCCTTTCTTGGGGACACTGCTCTAAACTCCGGGGGGGCGGTGTAGCACGTCCCGGACGCCGGTGATCGCAGTGGGGGGGACTCACCTGGCATCCCAAGGAGTCGCCTTGCTCCCGTTCCAGCCCTCCTGGGCCATGTGATCACGAGGTCCTTGCAAAGACCTCACGATCACATGGATTGCATAGCCTTCCACAGCAATGCCAGGATGGGGAGTGCAAGTAATGACCGTTACTCCCCCTTCTGCCTGTAAAAAGATAAAATAAATGTTTAAAATTATATAATTATAATAGTTATAAAACCGTATCCCTCATGTACAGGTTTTATGGTGTTAAAAAGTTTGTCAAATATAAGGCTTGCGTGTTTTTTTTTTTTTTTGTTTTTTTGAACTAAAAGAAGATAATTTGTTAAAACTATTTGCACTTATATTAGCAAGAAAGGGGGAAGGGAAGGGAGAAAAGAAGAAAGAAGGGATAGATATATTCACTAAGGAGTTTATTTTTAGAAATAAAGGTAGTTATCTTTAGTATATGACACATGTAACTTATTAAGATTAATAAGAAATAATGAGGTGGTTCAATAAGGACAAATTTGATAGTAACTAAATTTGTTTGTATGTGCACAAGATTGAATTAGAAAATTGGATGGATTGATTCGTTTATTATTGCACACAAAGGGATTAGAAAAAAGGATGTGGGAAGGAGTGATGGGGATAAAGAAAGGATACACGGAAATAATGTAATGGAACACGATGATAAATAGGTTATTATAAATATTTTTCACTTAACTGACACCTATCTCAGATTAGTTATATTTAATTGATTAGGTTTTTTTTTTTTTTTTCTTTGAAGACCCATTTAAATTGCGCGACAGATAAAATAGATGAATATTGAGTTGAGTCTTTAAGTTTGAAGACCACTCGTTTACACTTTATTGTACATAGGATAGAACAACTGGAAGTAATGAGAGGAAGGAAAGAAAAAAAAGAAAAGGAGGTAAAGAGCAGAAAGGTCTTATATTATATATACATGGATATTGAGATGGATCTCTTGGGACTGAAGACTGTCTAGATATATTTTAGGAATTAGAAGTAAAGAAAAAAGCGGTGTGTGTTTTTTTTTTTTTTTCTCCTTCTTGTTGTAAAATAGATTAAAGGGTGTTATTATTTATTATATAACATCGCCCAAATCCGGACACTCCTACTTAGTGTCTATTCAATAGACACAGGATTAGACAGACTCTCCTGTTAGTGAGTCAATAGTCTATGTGCTTAAGGAGGATGATATCCTCCTATAGTTTTAGATATATGTTTTTTTGTTTTGTGTATGTCTGTGCAGCAATGGAGGAAAAAAGGGAAGATTACTATGTCGAGACGAAAGGAAAGAGATTTGAGAAACTCTAATGATAAGAATGTTAACTCTTAATGTCCAAGGTATGAACACAATAACAAAAAGGTCTTTAATATATAAATATTTAGTCACCGAACATATTGATTTGGGATTTTTGCAAGAAACCCATTGGAGGCAATCAGATAAACAAACGTGGGGTGGAAAAAAATTCCCGCTCATCATGCAGGCCTCAAATAGAGATAAAAAAAAATGTGGTGTAGCCATAATATTTAGTGAAAAAATAGAGGTAGAAATAATTCAACAAATACAAGATGTAGAAGGTAGATTTTTGATCATAATATGTAAAATCAATTCTAAGATTTTTACACTTTGTAATGTTTATCTCCCAAATTATTCACCAGCTTCTCACTTAAGATCTATCCTAGAAAAAATAGTAAAAAGTGGGAAATTTAATATTGGCTGGAGATTTTAATGCTGTCATCGATCCACAATTAGATAAAAAAACTATGAAAGGAGTCAAAATAAATAAGATGTTAATTAAACAAGCTAAATCTTTAAAAACCATAAAAGATGAATTTAATTTGTTCGATATCTGGAGAATCCATAATCCAAATTTAAGAGATTATACACACTTCTCCAAAGTCCATTTTTCTTATTCAAGGTTAGACATGATTTGGATTGATCCTAATCTTATCGATAAAATTCAAAAAGTAAAAATAAACGAAACAGTTTGGACAGATCATAACGGTGTAGTATGTGAAATAGAAGTAGGAAAAAATACAAAAAAGCCATATAGTTGGCGTCTAAATGACAGTTTGCTGAGTTTTGAAGCAAATAAAAAAATCTATGGAAGTAAACATAAACAATTATTTTAAAGAAAATAACACAGAGGATATCGATCCATCCATTTTGTGGTGCGCTTTCAAAGCAGTAATAAGAGGTTATTTTATTAAACTCCAAAGCCAAACTGATAAAAGTATTAGTCTATCTTATCTTTATGGTCAGTTAGGGAAGTTGACTCAAAACAATAAATATAATCCAACAGTTGAAAATTCAGAAGAAATATCAGCAATAAAGGACAAAATTAACCAAAAATTAATGGAAAGAACGGTTAAAAGTTTAGATAGATTAAAATTAAAATATTATTCTAAGGGTAACAGAGCCGATAAACTGTTATCACAAAAATTAAGAAAACAAAAGGGTATAAATAAAGTAGAAAAACTTATAAATAATGGAACAACTGTAGTAACTCCAAAACAAATAGGACAACAATTCAATGATTTTTATAGTAAGTTATATAACATTCCTCAAACTACGACAGATGAAGATATAAAAAAATATCTAGAAAAAATAAATAACTTTAAATTAACAGAATCACAAAGTGAAGCAATAAATAAAGATATAACTATGGACGAAATAATGAAAGCTATAAATAATTTGGAGGAGTATAAAACCCCAGGTCCAGATGGATTTAGTAATTTATTCTACAAAATATTTAAAGAACTAATCTGCCCTTATATGACTAATGCCTTTAACAGTGCAGCTAAAAGAGGATCTCTCCCAACAGAGATGTTAAAAGCTAATATTTTACCAATTCTAAAACAAAATAAAAACCCTACTGATGTTAAAAATTACCGTCCAATATCCTTGATAGATGTTGACACTAAACTATACGCTTCAGTGTTGGCCGCTAGAGTTAAAAAACTTATACCACTGATCATACATCAAGATCAAATAGGTTATGTCCCTGGAAGAAACTCTTATACAAGTATTGGGAAAATTGACAACATCTTAGATGACGCTAATAGAAATAGAGTTCCAGTTTTGGCTCTGTCGATTGATGCTGAAAAAGCATTCGACAGAGTCAACTGGATTTATTTGGATGCGGTACTGTCACATTACGGTCTTGACGGTTGGATTAAGAAAGCCATCATGGCCCTTTATGCAAATCCATCAGCACGTACTAAAGGACCAAATATTATAGCCCCATGGTTCCAACTGAAAAACGGCACACGACAGGGATGTCCACTTTCACCGTTATTATATTTGCTTTCTATTGAACCATTAGCCGAGAATATTAGAAACAATAAAAAAAATCTATGGCTATAAAACACTAGATGTAGAACAGAAATTAAGTCTATATGCTGATGACATCTTAATTACCATAACAAAACCGGAAATTTCATTAGATTTTTTAATGTCAGAAATTGACAGTTATAGTAAAATATCTAATTATAAATTAAATATAAATAAATCCATGATTCTGGACATAAATTTGGATGAACAAACTAAAAATAAGATCAAAGATAGATATAATTTTTTATGGGTCGAAAACAACATGGACTATTTGGGAGTTAAACTGACTAGAGATGTAAATAAAATAATGGAAATAAATTTCTTGGATTTACTACAAAATCTTAACAAATGGCTGAAAAATCGAAGAAATTTAGAAATATCTTTCTGGGGAAGGATAAATGTAGTTAATTCATACGTCATTCCAAAATGGAACTATATGTTCCAAATGTTGCCATTAAGTATTTCTAACCAGTGGTTGGAATTAATACAGAAAAGTTTCACTCAGTATATCTGGAAAGGTAAAAAACCAAGACTGAGTCAATCAACACTAACACAAAAACTGAATAGAGGAGGACTGGCCTATCCTCTAATATCAAATAACTACAGGGCAGCGGTAATTTTACATATATATAGGATGCAAGTAGAAGAAAACAAAAATGAAAGTTGGTACAAAACAGAACTTATTGCAGGAGGAGCTCCCAGCTTGGATTGTTTAATTTGGAACACCACTACATTTTTTCAAAAAAAAGATTATCCTAGTATAACGTTAACACACTTAATGAATAGTTAGCTCAAAATTAAAAAGACCCTAAAAATAGAAAACAAAATTCCAACTCATCTAAAATTAGATCTTGTAGAACAACAAGTCGCAGATATAAATTAAAAAAATTGGAATCAAGCAGGAATTTTGCGACTGTCTCAACTACTTGTAAAAGATAAAATTAAAACTTTTGCGCAATTAACACAGGAATATAACTTACCATCAAAAGAGCTGTTTAACTATTTAAGACTTAAAAGTTTTTTGACAACACATCTAATTGTATCAAATACTAATTTGA